TTTTGAAAACTATCGATGTCGGATTTAGCGAAACTTCTCTCTTTACATCTCTTAACATTACATTCATTTTTTTCATCCAAGAAAATTCACAATACAGTCGGCAAACAAAATTTTTTAGTTATTGAAATTTTTAGCAACTATAAGCTTACACTGAGAGTTATAGTAAAATTTAATAAGCTATAAAACCGCTGGCACAAAATTTTTATAGAAATTCGAATTATGCAGCTTGAAATTTTAATGATTTTGCAGTTTTTTATGTTTTGTACAACTTTTATAAAAAATTAGTAGACACTAAACAAACAAACAAAAAATAGTCAAAACAGCTAAAAATGTTGTGGTGCTATTATTTTGTCCAGTACTTTATTCGTTTTCTTATAATATGGTAAAATGTTAATTATTTCCTTCAATAGTGTCATTGAGCTTTGTACCACGATTTGTTTGTTAGGAAAAATGGAAAAAATGCTTAAGCGGTAGAAGTTATGGCAGCTATTTCGGAGATCACCACATTTCCTCATCCGACTTCTTTTTTTCCTAGACTTTCAGCAGGGATCGTGTTAGCACTTCTGACTATGTTCGATGAAAGTCTAGGAAAGTCTGGAGGGTAAAAAGCCATTGGGATTCAAATTAATTAAAATCTAATTATTCTGGAACAACGTCTTTTCGATAAAACTTATAACTGATATGTCTCTGTTCATGACATGTAAACATTTCCGAAGCAGTGCCATCTGGGTATAAAATAGAACTAAAGTAAATTTAAAAAATAATATATGGGGCTAAAAGTTAAATTTTAATAAATTGGAAATTTAATTTTATAGTAATTACCCTGCAGGGAAACTAAAATTTCTAGTTCCGTACTAGATCTTTATCGCTAAAAACGAACCAGTCCAATAGTAATCAGCGAAATGTGGTACTTTTAAAAAACTATTTTATTTCCCTTTTTCCATAGAGAAATCTATATCTAAGGTGTCGAATTTAGAACTGATTCAGAGCTATCAGAAAAGGAATACAGAACGAACCAGTTCAGAACTAGAAATTTCCCCCACAGGGTATTGATTAAAATTAATATTTATTAACTAAATTTAAAAGTTATTCTTGAAATAAAAAATGTAATAGTTTCTTGGTATTTATTATAATAATAATATAATTATAATTATAAGTTTATTTCTAAGGTAAGAATAACAAAAATCGTCTTAAGTGACTTTTAATGTCAATTATTATTAACATTTATCTTTCCAGCTCTATAGCTCAAAAACTGTCAGTCGGTCGGCAATTTTCTATACCAAATTTCATGCCCTACAAAAGATGTACACCCGTTTTTTCCAGAAAAAATTTGCATACCGAAAAATCGAAAAAAATTTCCGTGTTATCTATATGGGGAATCGAATTTGTGAAAGGTCTAAGCACTTAAATCTTTATCAAACGGCATAATCTTTTGTTTTCTATGAAGCATCAGATTTATAGGTAGCACAGAAAAAAAATATATCGCCTAAAAATGAAACACCCTCATTTATATATACATATCGATGGTCCTGGGCAATAACGACACAATTCAAAATTCAAAAAATTAAAACTCTAACTACTCTTGAGTGGCTCATGTCTCTAATCCTTGCCGAATCCATGTCTAATCTTTAGTACATACTTTAGCAATCCATACTTACTGCTTGCTGTAGTTAGGGTTGGAAACGCATTAGACAATGATTAGAGACAGGAGAGCCACTTAACAGTTAGTAACAGTTTCAATTTTTTTAATTTTGAATTGTGTCGTTATTGCAGAGGACCATAGATATATGTACATTAGGGTGGTCCAAATAAGTAAAGTCGGAATTTTAATGCTCTCACCCCCTAGAATTGTTCTATATCAAAAAAAGTATACCCCTATTTTTTATCAACAAATATTTAGAGGTCGCTCAAAGCGCTCAAAGTTTTCCATGTATTTTATATGGGGAAAAAACCAACTTTTCGTAGAAATGGTATGGAATTCTTGAAAATTAATATTTTTCGATCGGAAAACTCTGATTTTCTTAAGGAGACTTCCAATAACAATATCCAATTGTTTATTTAACCATTTTTCAATTGCTTTTTCTGGCATTTTGAGGGGTTTTGACGGACCTATAAAATAAAGTTACTATGAATAAATGGTTAAAAACATAATTGGGTATTATTACTGGGAATCTCCTGAAGAGAAACCGGGGTTCTTGGTCGAAAAACATCGATTTTCAAGAATTCTATACCATTTCTACGAAAAGTTGTTTTTTCCCCATATTTATAACATACATGGAAAACTTTGAGCGATTATCGCCTGTTAAGAAATCGCCTCATGTAAAGGTAGTATTCAACTTAAAACAAAAATTGGTTCCTTTTAATCACATATATCTTACGAACCAATTTAAAAATCTTAATATTAAATAGGGGAAAAGACAGCCAATGAAATTTTCCATAAACCGTATACATATACATCACTATCCGATAGGGTTTATAGTTTCTGAAAAATTAATTAATCATTCCAGCTTTTATTTTTAATGAAAAAATAAAATAAAAAAAAAACTTTAACAGAAGAAAAATTTAAAAAATAACAGGTTCTGTGCCAAATTTTTGCATTTGCCCTAAAGCCTGTTCTGTTACGAAAAAAAATCACGTTACGTTTTGTGTGAAATATGAGCAGAAAAGCGTGTTACTTAGAGCCAATTTACACGATGACTTTTCACCCTGGGTGGAGTCATGCGTGTCGAGCTTGTAGGCAAGAAGTGTAGCGAAGTCAGCGGGGTAGGCAAGCACGCACGGTGAGCGAAATCGAGGGGTTTTTTTAACGTTTCGCTTTTATCGAGTTCACTTTTTCGTATTTTTGCTTTGAGTTCGTGATTCGCTCCGATTTAAAAATGAGGACGAAGGAGTTGAACAAAGAAAATTTTACGCTTAAATGTCAAAAATACGCAAGAAACGCCGTAAAGAAAATGTCATCGTGTAAATGCACGAGAATTTTCGAAGACTTTTTTAAAAGGCAACGTGCCAAAAACGCAGGGTGAAAAGTCGTCGTGTAAATTGGCTCTTGAGCTCGTCGGCGATTTCTAGCATCCGTTGTTGGTTACCCCAGCAACGAGTACATGTGTGAGTGTCGGGTTGAATGTCGGGTGCTTGAAGCTTGCCCGGCGACACTCAAGCATAAAGCGTCAACACCATTTGCAATTTCAATAAACCGCAACGTAAAATCTTTATCTTCCGCGAACTTTCTCATTTTATATATCACAACAAACTAACACACTAAAGGCCCGTCCACATAGAACTTTGGCGTTGCGTTGGCGTTGGCGTCGCTTCAACAGCTGACTATGAATACATGAATTCAAACGCAGCCGTCCACATAGCCAAAATTCGACAACGCTCACGCCAACACAAAGCAAAAAGATGGCCAACTCTCATCTTTTCGCGTGCGTCGCTCGTCAGCTGTTGCAAATAAATAAAATTATGTGAAATATTTTCCTTTTTAATCAAGTGCGGGCAAGAAATATCGTTTTTAATGCAATTATTGATATGAAATATTAATTTATCTGTCGTTAGTATGTTAATGTAGTGGCCCAAGCATTCGCTGCCAAGCGCTCATTGTAGCAAGCATACTTTTAACGTGCGTTCTGTCAAACCAACGCCAACGCCAAAGCCAACACGAAAGTTCTATGTGGACCGGCCTTAATAATGCTTGTCAACGCTTTGCGCCACTATCAAACAGACCGCTTGTCAAGCGGTCGCGTTGATGGAAAATCAAAAATTTTTGATTTTCCATCAACACGAGCCGACAACAAGTACGTGTGACACGACGATCTCCGATTGCCTCGGTTGCTGGGGTAACCAACAACGGATGCTTGAAATCGCCGACGAGCTTTAGGTGTACGTGGCGTATGAGTTATATCGCCAATAACTTTACCTCTCAGGTGCTGTGGAAAAGTTTTGAGTAGCTTCTCCCCTGCCGCTGCACTGAGCGCGAGATTGGTCGAGATCTACACGTCGTACGTGAACTTATAAATAATGCGTTTATTGGAAATTTTGTCCTCTACAACTGTGCCATTTAAATGTGCCACTTATTTCAAATAGAACCGCGCCACTTACCTAATTTTGGGCATTTTTTGCATATTATTAGCAATAAATAATTGTTTAAAAAAATTATAGGCACATGAAAATTGTAGGGCATCGAATTCTCTACAAATTTGTTTACCTTTTTTCGCGTGAAATGCCAAATTCGCGCGCAAATCGTAAAAAAAAAATAAAATCCAAGATGGCGGACAATTCCCATATCGCAATTGGGGGAAAAATTTGCATTTTGCGTTCACCTAAACAGGAGACACCTAACGGCGTAAAAAAATTTCTTCCTGGAATTTTTTTTAATCTCAAGTCGATTCGGGCTATACATATATATGAATTTGTACAATTGATCGCTAGTAGCGATTTTAATCGCATCGTGCTACGCGAATTCGCTAGGTCATAAACGTACCCTTGCTAGAAAAATCCGCTAACAAGACCATTTGAGGATAACCATGAACCAGTTATAACCAACCATGGAGGACAACAATACAAAGTGTTACCATACCAAACCTAGTTAATGGTCTGACTATGCATACTTCGCACAACTTCGCATAAACTTCAAACTGTAATTTCGCATGAACTTTCTATGTGTTTTGTATGAAATTCATTATCCAGAAATCAGCAGAACTTTTCAAAACTTAGCGATCTGATGAATTTAGATTTTGCCTCACATTTGACTAACTTACATTTTTATTGCACTGGTACAAATGGTTGTGCGAAGTTAAGCGAAGTATGCATAATCACACCTTAAATCTCCACACCCCACTTTTCCCTTGTTTCTACGTTCGAAATACATTCTAGGAACACACACAATGAATTGACTTGGAAAAAAAAAATTGCAAAAGGCGATTTCCTAAATTTTTACGCGCAACAATAAAATAAATCGCTCGAGCTGCACACTCTGAACTCAATCACCATTATTTTATACATACCATTGTTCCTTTGATTCGGCGGCCTCTGTCCGGTCGTTCGACATTTCGACACACACAATTGTAAATACTTCGAATAGAACGCGAAAGTCACAAAACAATTCTGCTTTTATTAGCCGCTGCGGATCGAATGGGCTTGTCGCGGCGCCAAACGATTGATGTAATGTGCCATGAACCCATCCATGAACCAATGTCTTTCGTTCATGGTAATGTGCAAGATTGTCCGGGGAATCCCGGAATTTCATCGTCATCGACAGTGTGACCGTTTTGCTCCAAGTGGATCAAAAGTGTTACATTTTTCGATGAATTTCGGAGATATACTTTTTCTTCAATTGTGATAGGTACTTTTCCAAATACAAAAAAAAAATATTTAATTTTTTATGCATTATAAAACATGTGCACCTGTGGCAACGTACATCTAAAACTTCGTTGTCGTTCACATGAAAGGTTCGATGTATTGTGATTCATGGACCATGACGAAAAACGTCAAAATCTGAATAAACGACCAGTAAAAGCGTTGTATTTTTTCTTCGCTATGTTCAATAACAAAAATTAGGGCTTGGTACTCGGTAACTCGGTGCTCGGTAAGGCCCTGTCTCCACAGGAAAACACCAATGTCGTGATAACCATGTCACAAAATATATTTCCAATGGATACCGCTTATTTCTCATGGGCTGCAATGCATGTAAGCGCTTATTGCTTGACATCTATTGCAGGCAATTTGATAGTTTGACAGCCATATCTTCACTTGAAAGAAAGCGTGCTGGTGATAACATCGATGAAATATTAATATTAAATCAAAATAAGAATCTGTTCCCTATTGGATTATGTATGATAAGGTTTTAGGAAGTTATTCAGCAAGTTTTTTAGGATCTAAATGTTTTTAAACACCGGAATTGAGAGAATGTTGTCTGGCGGCGTCATGCGGCAAATGCTTATACATATCAAGACATCAAAGTGCCAACACACAAAAATTTGCGTCATACTGCTCGTCAAAATGACAGTTTGCCTGCGGAGTTTTGCGGTAAATTTTCCGCTATGTATTTTGTTTTTGTGTTTTGTGTTATTTTAGTATCGGTTTATTTTAGTTATCGTGGTGGAAGCTTCTGGTAGTTGGTAAACTGCAATCAGCTGTACGATATTCATCCTATTTTGAATCCGCCCGCTGCCGAAAGGCATAACGCATTTGAGTAAATAAAATTCCTTCAATTTTTTTTACAATTTATTTTTGTTTTTAAGGAAAAAAGCTACGAATCAGCTGTTTATAAACATAGTTTACCAGAGTAAAGGTGTGGTTAAACGTGGCTATGCTAGCTCTTTTTCTACGCATTTTGATATCAAAATGCGAAATCGAAAGTCTACTTACTGAAATTACGCAAATCGTTTTCGGGAAATAATTTCAACTTGCTCGTGCAATAAATGTTAAGTTGTTTTGGAATATAGTTTTTCATAAAAATTATTAGTTTTATTCCATATTGATGCTTTGATACTTAAATGAAAAAAAGTGATACGTTTTAATACATTTTTAGTCTCTTCTGCTACAATTTTTCACAAACCCGCGGTCCCACTGGTCATGGTTACAGTTGCCACACTTTGTACTTAAAGGCCCTACACCAGTGATCGCACTTCCAAATTCTGTGTGGTAGAATCTGCAAAAAATGTAGATTTCAAAAAAATGTGGCAGATCTCTGGGTTTGGATCAGACTTTGTGCAAAAATTAAAAAACAAATCTGCAAGGTTTCACCTAAATTGCAAAACTTTTAAATTAGACTGTAAATAATTTTTTTTTTTTTTAGTATAATAAAGTGCAAGATTGAAGCTGCTAAAAATTGCGCTGTGTTTTGGTAATTTTTTTCCCTGACAGTATAAAGCAGTTCCTTCCATATCAAGATATCTTTCGAACATATTTTAAGAGATTTCCGCAACCTGGCAGCACTCCGCCAGCTTTTCTTTTTATCACATCACAAAGTAGCGAACAAATGTGGCATGTTCCAGAAACCGCCACTACCATATATGGTACACACACACACACATATATGCATATATATTTTGATACAAGCATTTGTACCACACACGAATCATCGCAACGAATCTTGCAGCGTAACGAAAAGTTCGTTCGTACATATTAAGCTTTCCGAGAATTAGCGATAGACGGTAGAACGTTCTAGAGTTGCCATTAGTGTGAGCGCAGGTATGTAAAGCCGCTGCTATAGCGCAGCCAGTTAGCTGCAAGTTAGCAAGCCACCAGACAAGTCAGCTGTAAGTCAGTTGCGAATCAGCAGGCTACAAATTCAGATCAATCGTGTTAGAAACTTTTGTGTTTTATTTGCCTTAACAAGTATTGGTAATTTTTGTAAGGTGTTTGTTGTATAATAAAGTTCATTGTACTGTAATTTGGTAACCTTGAGTATTTATTTAACAATCCAGCGATACGAACCGAAATAATTTAGGGAAGCCCGTCAAGTAGTCAGGGATAATTGTAACAATATGATTAATTAATCGATTATGTTATTCTTTGCCATTCCAACACACAGTTTGTTCACACAATTTTACAATCTTCTAAACAAAATTTAATTTTTTATAGTATATTCGTAATGAAATGAAATAAAATAAGATAAAGTACCTTTTTGAGAACTCAAAATGTGTATACTGAGAAAAAAAAATTCAACTATATTGTTAGGCAAAGAATTGTTAAATAATAATGGCCTGTTTTTGCTTATGCGTAAAAGCACATGAAAATTGTGATTATTGGCAATTTTTCTAAGGGGTCCCTAGGGAACCATAGGGGACCTAGGTGATCGGGGGTTGCCTTTTTGTCAATGGCGGTTCATTCCCTCTCCAAAAAGGTGGGTTAGAGGTGCCACGCCCACTTACCTTTCGCCCGCCGCCCCTTTAACGAACGACCATAAAGGAAAGCCAACCCAAAACGACTTTGGAAAGCAGTTTTTAATTCTAAAATAAAACGTTTCGATTTCGATTTATAGCCATTTCTTAATACAAACATGATCAAACATTTTGACAATGTGAGGTCCCTATTAAAAATCAGCCAATACAAAAAAGGAACATTCACAATAAATGAGATTTTAGCTTGGGACATTGTAGTCTGGCAGCATTTACTTGCTTTTTTTGATAGCAGAAAACAAAATTTAGTTTGGGTGAAAAGTTTTGTTTTTTAATAATTTGCTCCAGATTCCAATCAAGTCGAGAGCTGTTATAAATATATAAACGGGGTAAGTATGTTTTTACCACATAATTAGTTAATTCGTCAGCAGAATATAAACTTAAAAAGTATAACCTATGTATGTAGTTCCTTGCCCAAGGCAAATATCCTACATATTCCTACATATTTTCTTGATTTGCTTGAGTTAAACATTAATCTTAATTTCATACTTTAGCGTGCTCTCCACGAGCACATTTTTTTGAAACTAAGACTCCGGACGAAGTTGAACACCCCTCTACTGATTTCTTCACTGAACTCTGTAAATGGACACAAAATTCTAAATTACCACCACTCTGGAACGTTGACATCTCTTTTGCCAAATACACTTAACTTTACATTATTAATATATGCACTCCCGTATATATATATTCCCGCACACCACCCNATGGACACAAAATTCTAAATTACCACCACTCTGGAACGTTGACATCTCTTGCCAAATACACTTAACTTTACATTATTAATATATGCACTCCCGTATATATATATTCCCGCACACCACCTATCCATAAACTAAAAAAGTCTAGATCAGCTTTCCCCCAAACTGTCCTGGTTACTGGCCATTCCCTGTTGTTTTACTGCAAATCCGACACATTGGTAACAAAAAAAAAGCAAAAACATACAATGTCGGATATTTTTACAAATTTCGATAGCAACGGCGCTTGCGAGGACTCGCAGGATATAATTATGGCATCGCCATCTCAAAGCAGCCCTTTGACCAACTCGAACTCTAACTCTGTGGGGCTTGGTTCTGCAAGTACTACGGCCGGTGGTAGTAGCGGTGGCGCACAGAATGCAAGCTCTGCCAGCGCAAGCACTAATGGAACAGCTAGCAGCAGTGGAAGTGCTGCAGGCAAATCTGGTGCAGGTGCCGAAAATCAACCGGCAAGTACTTAATTACTGTGAAAGCATTATTTTCAAAGGATTAATGATTCCTTTATATATTTACAGATTTTGACCAAACCACGCTTGCTTGAACTGGTGCGTGAGGTCGACGTAACAGCACAACTGGACGAAGATGTCGAAGAGCTTTTGCTACAAATTGCTGACGATTTTGTTGAGGACGCTGTAAAGGCTACTTGTGCATTTGCCAAACATCGAAAAGTGTCCAAAGTGGAGGTGCGTGATGTACAACTACATTTAGAACGCAAATGGAATATGTGGATACCTGGGTTTGGAACCGATGAGTTGCGACCATATAAGCGAGCAGCTATTACGGAGGCACATAAACAACGATTAGCACTTATACGGAAAACAATTAAGAAGTATTGAATAGTTATAACAAAATGGGCGTAGTGGTCAACTTCTGATTCTTCTTTACTAAATATACAAAGTTATGTAGCTTATAAGATTTTTTATAAAACAATATATCAGTGGTATAGTTTCGACTTAATCTTTACATGCATTTATAAATCGCTTTTCGGTCTATCAATCTTCTCTAATTCTACTTCAAAGATAAGCGTTGAATCTGGTGGTATTTTATCGCCAGCTCCCGCTTTGCCATAGCCCAGCTCAGGAGGTATAACTAAGCGGCGTTTTTCGCCCTCGCACATGCCCAAGAGGCCTTGCTCCCATCCTTTAATCACTTGACCAATACCAAGCTTTAGCGAAAATGGTTTCTGGCGTCCATAACTGCTGTCAAATTCGGTGCCATCTTTCAACGTACCCTGCAGGCAAGAGCAGATACATGAACGTCCGGTGGAATTGATTGTTTTTGGTGTTTCAATTAGGACTTACTCTATAATGAACATGGATTGTGTCGCCTTTGCTTGCCTTCATTTCACATTTCTCCGCCCTCTTTTTAATGCCAATTTTCACTGTGGGTTTTGCATCCCGCGATGCAGTAGTGCACATGCTGAGTACCGTTAAAAGAAGTAGCAGGAAAAGTAACTTCATTTTTGAAGAATAATTGTGCTCCAAAGCTTTTAAATAACGAACTTAACAAAGAAATGCAAGGTAAATTTTTGACAGTGACTTGGTTAGATCCAGCAAAAGGTATCGTTTATTGTTGCTTTGATACGGCAGATAAGAATTGGACCTGCTGATAAATAAGTTGCAGTACTGCCAACATGTGTAATGGCTAAAATTTAAGAAAAGCAACACTGCACTGGAAGAAATGAAATTTTCGTTTTACATAGGAAAGTGAGTTAATATTGATAACAATCGAATATCGTTGATGCAATGTAGAAAGGGCCTGACATTTTTTTTTCAAAATTAGGGTTTTTGCATTCCCAAGCAGCTTTTACTAAAACCCACACCAAGCTTGACAATGGATGACGGAAATTCGTTCCTAAATGTGGGCCTGTTCGAGGCACGTAATAAAAGCGGCAATACTGCAGCGCGAGACTTGCAACTTCCAAATTGATAAAACGATGCTAGAAATTGACACCGAACGTGGTACTTTAATAATTCTCGCAACACCATGATGCAATAATACAAGGTGGTATCAATTGTGACAGAACGAGAAGAAAAACGGGAAGAAATTAAGCCCCATTTTGGGGGAAAAATATAAAATTTCACAATGTTATTGTGGCTTATTAAAATTTTAGTTTTAATATTTTTTATTGAGCTTTGTACCACGATTTGTTTAGTCCGAAGTTCAAAGGAACATACTAATGTATTTAGTCCGAAGTTCAAAGGAACAGACTAAATACATTAGTCTGTTCCTTTGAACTTAGGACTAAAACCTGTGGAACTGTCAAA